AATGTAAAATGTTTCGCACTTTCGATTGCCGGCATCTGGAATTAGGATTTCTATTAAAAAATAGTGTAGACCATAAAATGATCTTGAAGGTAGGGATCAAGGTCAAATCCAAGATCACCGTTCACTCCCTCGTTAAAATTTACCAAAGCCCTAAGCTTGAAGGTTGTTTTCATTACTAATCCTTTGAGATTTATGGAGTTTTTCCAAGTGGCATACAGTTGACCTTCATTTCGCTTCCTGAATTTGTTCTTGGCTTGCCCTTGAATGTAAAATTTTCTGTTCTTTCCATTTCCGGCATCAAAAATAAGGGTTTGAAAAAAACAAGTTGATCATGAACTAACCTTGTAGACGAAGATCAGGGAATTCAGGGTCAGCGTTGAATTTCTTGTTGGAAGTTATCAAAGACTTGACCTTGACATTCACCAATATATAAAGTTGATTATGAACTAACCTTGTAGATAAGGATCAAGTTGAAATTCAAAGTCACTGTTAAATTCATTGCTGAATGTTACCAGAGAACTGATCTTGATATTTTCCAAAAAACAAAGTGGATCACGAACTAACCTTGTAAACGAAGATCAAGGTCAAATTCAAGGTCAGTGTTGAATCCCTTGCTGGAAATTATCAAAGACCTGGCCTTGACATCCTCCAAAAAATAAAGATGATTATGAAGTAACCTGGTAGATGAGGATCAAGGGGAAATCCAAGGTCACTGTTAAATTCATTGCTAAATATTACCAGAGACCTCACATTGATATTTTCCAATAAATAAAGTGGATCGCGAACTAGCCTTGTGGACGAAAATCAAGGTCAAATTCAAGGTCAGCGCTGAATTCCTTGCTGGAAGTTATCATAGACCTGACCTTTACATTCTCCAAAACATAAAGTTGATTATGAACTAACCTTGTAGATAAGGATCAAGGGGAAATTCAAGGTCACTGTTAAATTCATTGCTGAATATTACCAGAGACCTGACCTTGATATTTTTCGATAAATAAAGTGGATCACGAACTAACCTTGTGGACGAAAATCAAGGTCAAATTCAAGGTCAGCGCTGAATTCCTTGCTGGAAGTTATCAAAGACCTGACCTTGACATTCTCCAAAACAAAGTTTATGATGAACTAACCTTGTAGATAAGGATCAAGGGGAAATTCAAGGTCACTGTTTAATTCATTGCTGAATATTACCAGAGACCTGACCGTGACATTCTCCGAAACATAAAGTTGATTATGAACTAAAAAACTAAAAACTTGTAGATAAGGGTCACGGGGAAATTCAAGGTCACTGTTAAATTCATTGCTGAATGTTACCAGAGGCCTGGCCTTGATATTTTCCAATAAATAAAGTGGATCACTAACTAACCTTGTAGACGAAGATCAAGGTCAAATTCAAGGTCAGCGTTGAATTCCTTGCTGGAAGTTATCAAAGACCTGACATTGACATCCTCCAAAAAATAAAGTTGATTATGAAGTAACCTGGTAGATAAGGATCAAGGGAAATTCAAGGTCACTGTTAAATTCATTGCTGAATGTTACCAGAGACCTCACATTGATATTTTCCAATAAATAAAGTGGATCGCGAACTAGCCTTGTGGACGAAAATCAAGGTCAAATTCAAGGTCAGCGTTGAATTTGTTGCTGGAAGTTATCAGAGACCTGACCTTGACATTCTCCAAAAAATAAAGTTGTTTATGAACTAACCTTGTAGATAAGGATCAAGGGGAAATTCAACGTCACTGTTAAATTCATTGCTGAATATTACCAGAGACCTGACCTTGATATTTTTCGATAAATAAAGTGGATCACGAACTAACCTTGTGGACGAAAATCAAGGTCAAATTCAAGGTCAGCGCTGAATTCCTTGCTGGAAGTTATCAAAGACCTGACCTTGACATCCTCCAAAAAATAAAGATGATTATGAGGTAACCTGGTAGATGAGGATCAAGGGGAAATCCAAGGTCACTGTTAAATTCATTGCTAAATATTACCAGAGACCTCACATTGATATTTTCCAATAAATAAAGTGGATCGCGAACTAGCCTTGTGGACGAAAATCAAGGTCAAATTCAAGGTCGGCGTTGAATTTGTTGCTGGAAGTTATCAGAGACCTGACCTTGACATTCTCCAAAAAATAAAGTTGTTTATGAACTAACCTTGTAGATAAGGAACAAGGGGAAATTCAAGGTCACTGTTAAATTCATTGCTGAATGTTACCAGAGACATGTTCTTGATATTTTCCAATAAATAAAGTGGATCACGAAATAACCTTGTAGACGAAGATCAAGGTCAAATTCAAGGTCAGCGTTGAATTCCTTGCTGGAAGTTATCAAAGACCTGACCGTGACATTCTCTAAAACATAAAGTTGATTATGAACTAACCTTGTAGATAAGGATAAAGGGGAAATTCAAGGTCACTGTTAAATTCATTGCTGAATGTTACCAGAGGCCTGACCTTGATATTTTCCAATAAATAAAGTGGATCACGAATTAACCTTGTATACGAAGATCAAGGTCAGCGTTGAATTCCTTGCTGGAAGTTATCAAAGGCCTGACCTTGACATTCTCCAAAAAATTATGTTGTTTATGAACTAACCTTGCAGATAAGGATCAAGGGGAAATTCAAGGTCATTGTTAAATTCATTGCTGAAAGTTACCAGAGACCTGACCTTGATATTTTCCAATAAATAAAGTGGATCACGAACTAACCTTGTAGACGAAGATCAAGGTCAAATTTAAGGTCAGCGTTGAATTCCTTGCTGGAAGTTATCAAAGACCTGACCTTGACATTCTCCAAAAAATAAAGTTAACTGTGAACCAACCTTGTAGATAAGGATCAAGGGGAAATTCAAGGTCACTGTTAAATTCATTGCTGAATGTTACCAGAGACCTGACCTTGATATTTTCCAATAGATAAACTGGATCACGAACTAACCTTGTAGACGAAGATCAAGGTCAAATTCAAGGTCAGCGTTGAATTCCTTGCTGGAAGTTATCAAAGACCTGACCTTGACATTCTCCAAAACATAAAGTTGATTATGAACTAACCTTGTAGATAAGGATCAAGGGGAAATTCAAGGTAACTGTTAAATTCATTGCTGAATGTTACCAGAGACCTGACTTTGATATTTTCCAATAAATAAAGTGGATCACGAACTAACCTTCTAGGCGAAGATCAAGGTCAAATTCAAGGTCAGCATTGAATTCCTTGTTGGAAGTATCAAAGACTTGACCTTGACATTCACCAAAAGATAAAGTTGATTATGAACTAACCTTGTAGATAAGGATCAAGGGGAAATTCAAGGTCACTGTTAAATTAATTGCTGAATGTTACCAGAGACCTGTTCTTGATATTTTCCAATAAATAAAGTGGATCACGAACTAACCTTGTATACGAAGATCAAGGTCAAATTCAAGGTCAGCGTTGAATTCCTTGCTGGAAGTTATCAAAGGCCTGACCTTGACATTCTCCAAAAAATAATGTTGTTTATGAACTAACCTTGCAGATAAGGATCAAGGGGAAATTCAAGGTCACTGTTAAATTCATTGCTGAAAATTACCAGAGACCTGACCTTGATATTTTCCAATAAATAAAGTGGATCACGAACGAACCTTGTAGACGAAGATCAAGGTCGAATTCAAGGTCAGCGGTGAATTCCTTGCTGGAAGTTATCAAAGAGCTGACCTTGCCATTCTCCAAAAAATAAAGTTGTTTATGAACTAACCTTGTAGATAAGGATCAAGGGGAAATTGACTTGACCTTGATATACTCCAAAAAATAAAGTGGATCACGAACTGACCTTGTATATCAAGGTCAAATTCAAGATCACCGTTGAATACCTTGCTGAAAGCTACTGAGGATCTGAGCTTGACCTTTTCCTAAATATACCCTGCCTGAGAAAATACAGAGCCGGTCCGAGACTTTTGTGTCACGCTGAATACATCCATTACAGTAATAATGAGGCCATAACAATCTAGAAGATTGTTACCCATATACCGAAGCTCTTTAGCTTCCATTCCATTCTGGCACTGGTAAATTCCCAGTCGTAACGAAAAAGGCAATTAAATTAATCTACATGTATGGAAGTAGCGTGGAAATTCCCTCCGCGCACGGGCCGCAACAGTGCACCAAAACAGCATGACGATAATTAACGAGTGTGAGTGCGGTGGTCTCTGTATGAATTTTAACGACACGCCGGCTCTTTGCAAATTGCGATTGTTTTCATTATAATTACGGGCACCACTACATTCTGGTACAATTATACGGAAAAAACGCAGCATTTATTATTTTGTTAAACCAACGTATTCGGATAGGTTAGAAGGAGTCATATGTTTACAGTGCATTGTTTCACCAAACTGCGCAGTCTTGGTGCAGATTAAGGGTAGTTTCAAAAATATGGTTCCCACATTTTTTTCAGGCACAGGGAATTCTTTATTTGGAAAACCAAGCGCACCTTTGGAAAAGTTGTTCTTTAATTTAGTTCTCTCCATAGTCGCCATTTTTTCTACGAATTTTTTTTAGACGTTAAATCCACCTTTGCAACTCCTCGTCTGTCTCTTACTGTTGACAGCCTAGACAGCCTAGGTGTCCTCAGAAATGCTGTTTTAGGGCTGTAAGGGAGATGGGCAATGATCTACCACCCAAACCGCTACCAAAGTATTACTCCAACAGTCACTAAAATGGTGATAATTTGGACGTCTTCATATTCGAGATACGCCTAACACTAGTAAATAAAAGGGTAATAACTATACATTTCTGTACTGCTCAGCTCTCAGAAATTGCTTTCGTCACAATAACTAAGAGATAACATTTTAACGAAGGCAAAAAAAACAATGATAAAACGTTGACATTGTTGCCTCAGCATTCTTTAAATATGGTCATTATGTTGTCAAAAAAACAAGCTGAAGAAATTATTTTTTCTAGGAGTAACACTTCGTTCCATAACATCCATTATTGACCGTCTGTAGGCAGCCTTGTGCTGCAGCACTGTGATATACCATACTTCAACAAAAATGTGTCATATGCAGACAACGGCACTCTCATCCGCAACAAAATATAACTGCGGCCATTTAAAAATCCCGACGCGACGCGATCGCAAGAGTCGGAGTAACAATATATCCGAATCACCAGACAACGTCACAGTCGAGTATACCCACTAACAGAAGTAACGTCACATGCAGAAATAATGCCCTTCTTAATTTTTCTTTCCAGAACAGTTCATGGCGATCTGTTAGATCCCCAGTGGCTTTAGTCCTTAACAATGATACTAACATATTGATCTGCCTACTAAGCAAGTACTATTGAATTGAGCATGTTTTTCGTTGTTATAAATAAATAAGACGTGAAAAACTCTCTTAAGCATCCCACAAACCGGCGCGAAATATTCGCTTTGGCTGCGAAACTTTCGCGGCGATGAATTCGCGATCAGATTAAAACGCGGCGGTTTACGGACAGGCTCAGACTTGTGCGAAGCGAATGCGATTGTTCCAGCGTTTTTATCGCGGCGTATTTCAGTTCGCCTTTGACCGCGTTTTTGACGCCATTTTTCAAAAATTCGCAATGGCAAAAACGGAATTATTGATAGAAATAGTGAAAAAGTATCCTTGTTTGTATGATTTGTCGAACGATGAATACAGGAATGTGAGAAAGAAAGACAAGATTTGGATGGAAATAGGAAAAGAATTAAATACAAATGGTATGTACCTAATATTTTTTTGTATTAACTTGTTAAATAATTTACAGTCTACACAAATGTGAAAACTAACATTCTATATATTGGGCATAGGCATATCAGAATTAAAATAATTTACGAATTTGTCACGAGGATCATTTGCTATATCAGTAAAAGCTCCAAGCACAGGTTCTAGGGAATCTAAGAATTGAAAATATTTGTCATCGCCACTTTTACTTCGTAAAAAATTGTGTAAAACACATGCCGTACGTACAATTAGATTAGTAGTATCTACTTTAGTTTCTAATGGCCTGTAAAATATTCGCCATTTTTGAGACAAAATACCAAACGCATTTTCCACGACCCTTCTAGCTCGACAAAGTCTTACATTGTATTTCTCTTTTCTGACGTCTGTTAAAGTCTGCTTGTAAGGAAATGGTCTCATATGGTATGGTTTTGAAGCAAATGCTTCATCACCAATTAAGACGTACGAGCAGATTTCATTTTGCCCAGGGAGAAATCTAGGTGCAGGGACACTCATTAAATTTTGTTCAAATCGTTTTCCCATGTTTTGTTTTGTTCCTCTTCTAAAGCAAGAAATAGAAGTGCCTCCTCTTCTTCTGAAGACGAGCTCATTACAAAAGGCAAAAATAAAATGTACGCAACCTGTCGAAACCTTCAGGTTCGCGGAGCGAATAAGATGCTTTGATATGAATAAACAGGTGAAACAGATTGCGAATTTCGCTCTGAATTCCGTTGCGAATACTTCGCCGCGATTATTTCGCGCCGGTTTGCGGTATGCTTAACGCACTATCTGTACCTACATAGTTTTGCGGTTCCATCGTCCACGAAATCCAAATATTCAGCCCATCTCTATAAATATTTCTGTACCCCAGAGCCAGACTAGGTTATGCCCATTTTTGTTAAAAATGAGTTCAATATGTTTAGGCGTCTTATAATATTGTGAATTTTCATTTGCTACTTGCAGCGTCCACCTATCTGTAATAATAAGGAAGTTAGGACTTTTTGCTCTCAAATTGTGGCACTAATTTCCGAGAATCTAGCCTTGCTCTTATAAATCCGTCTCGCTTTTTAGGACCAACAACTATTAACAAAGCTTCCGTTACCAATTTGTCGCAACTTTCTAGTGCTTGGCTGTGACAGGGGTAAGATAAAAATTCAATAAACCTATGCGGATCTTCACTAATAATATTCTGTAATTCATCCTGTTCCAAATCCCGAAGCAGTGAGCGGCGGAATGATGTCATTATTGTGCCAGTCTATCAGATTAGTATAGTCTTCTGCATCAGAATTTAGTTTCAGTGTTATAAAAGGACGAATTATCGACCCAGGAATGAATTGAATGGATTGCCAAACATGTTTTGCCCCCATTTGAGCAAGATGGGTTCTCTTTAATCGCAAACCACATCGGTGCATGAACCCTTGGAACAAAATTCAATTATTTTAAATTTGTAGGTTGTTTGGTGGGAATATACAGTCACAATAAGCGATTTGCCAAAGTAATCCATCGGGAATGACTGACTTTTCCTGGATTCTGATTTGATAAATCTGCAGAAAATTGACCAGAGAACCTTGCAAGGCAAATTTTGTACAGATTATGAAAAACTTTACTTTGAATATTTACTTGTGTCAGAAAAGAACATTTAGAATGTTGGGTACAAGTTTCTAGCAGATTAAAGGCTCGGTAGGGGACAGAAGACTTGATGCAATAAAAATACTGTAGATAAATATTTTGACCGAAATAAGAAAAGGAAACTCTTGTTTGCTATTCCAAAACAGAATTCAAAACTTCAGTTATTGTTATTTGAGTTCCGGTAGGGGCAGAAAACGTGTTACAAAAAAACATAAATAAATATTTTTGTTAGAATAACAAAAGTCCAAGTTCTTGAAAAAAAAAAGTTTTTCGGCCCAGCCTATTGACGATGCCTAGGCCACAAAAACAGGCTTCTAACGCATTGAGTCCTTTATCAGACTAGGGGCCACCTTTCTAGACTTATGCTTAGAATCGACTTATATTTTGGGACCTCATCCTTTTAGTGCTCCTTCTTGGATTTATACTTGGACCTTACAACCTACTTCAGCCTTATTATTGGGCTTTGACCTAATTTGAGCCTTTTTCAGGATTACTCATTTGAAGCCATACTCACGCTTTGATCTTAATGTAGACATTTCCTTTGCCTCACCCAGCACCTGAGTTCAACCTAAGCTACCACAACCCCAGTCTTGCCTCAATTCATGGACAAATAATCATCAAGCACTGGGGAGGAAGGGCTCTTACGACAAATATTTGGAAGTCTCTCGAGTGCTTTAGGCATAAATTATAAGTTCAGTGTTTATTGTCTGCCTGCCAATGCAAGGTGTCCTCGGTGAACAACAAATAAATGCAATAGTTTGTGGAAATAGATGAGAAAGTCATTCTTTTGAGAATATAATGCAAGCGTTTCGTAGGACGAAAGATGAGATACAAGATGTTCAATAGGAATATTGGTACATAAGAGTTACAAAAAAAGTATCAAAGTAAATATCCACGAGCTATAAGCAAAGGTGAAGAATTTACGGATTTTATCATTTAGAGCTAAATTTGATGTACTTTGTTGTTTTGATGCACAGTGATATGGTCAGGTTTCAATGCCAACCTGTCATCTTATATTTTAACAATGATTAATTTGTTTTTAATACTTTAATCCTATTGGTCAAAGAAAATTTGACGAGTATACGAACGAACTGTAAAAATGACAGTTGCCGATCTGACTGTCGAACCTCGGTGTGCACTAGCAGTGGTCCTACTATCAGGATTCCATATACTTTGGCCATAGCAGCAAAAAACATCCCGGCAATGTCGCCATTCGGTGTATGTTTTTAACAATAGCGTCTGCATCTGGCATGCCCTCTTCACCATCATAAACTGCGTTGGATAGACCGTAATCATAATTAAAATACAGTTGCCAACAGTCCAAGCGTCAACTGTTTCAATTATGATATATTATGCAATATCTTTCTAATCCCCGTACGGAGACTTTCAAGTACAACGGGCACTTTTTTGACTGTATTTCTTATTTATCTGTTTTCCAGATGTCATTTCGTCTATTTGTTTCTTTTGTTTTCACATTCTTAAACAGTGGCTGAAATGTTATTCCAATTGAGATGACACCGCGCAAAACTAGCAAAATCCAGAACGGCTTGCTCCCGAAAGAAAATTTAGGCCTCCAAAGCATCAAGCAAATATGAGGTTGTTAGTTATTATTGTACCAGGCACGTCACCCTCGTCTATCGTCCAGAAAACGCCAAAAATCCTTCGAAGACGTGAAAACCCACCCAGAACGATTGTAACGCACACCGGCAACCGGACATAATAGGACCTATGTTTATGTAAACTATTCTTGATATTTCTGGATGTAATCTTCTGCGCTAGAGAAACTATCACGTTTTTCTGAAGCTCCTGTATATTTGATCATCCATTTTCTTATTTCCAAGATTTACAGATAAGGCAGAAGGACATCCTTAGATTTAATATTCGTAGCGTTTTCTGGACACAAGGCCTCTGATCCATCAAGTTTTACTTTTGTTTCACCAAAACTTGCTCATTTCCTTTTTGACGTAAATACAGAGCTGTCATCGGACAACAACATGTTAAGAGCGAGAAATGCTCAAACACAATTCCTTCAATATTTCATACATCTACGTACGTGAACATACCTAGTCAAGTTTCGATTTGACCTTTTTGAATTCACTTATTTTTTGTACATGAGCGTAGCAAACTTTTTCTAAAAGGAGCTTATCTGTCTCACTTTCGATTTAGCATCTACTACCGCGTAAGTGTACTCCATGTTATAAAGGCACTAGTTGTTTTTTTTAGGTTGGAATTGTTTTGACAGTTGGTAACACTTCCATGCTCAACATATTGAATGATATATTGTGTCAAACTTCCGCTGTGAGCAATGGATCGTTTTATTTTTTAACAAAGGTGGAGAATATCGAAAAACTATTTTCAAAGTGAGTGCTGTCTTGCAGAAACTTTGCGAAAGTTTAGAAGAATGAAGTTCCGTCTGCGACGGGTGGATAACAGAAGGTATGAGCGTGTTCAAACCGTACGTACAGCCGAAAACGTGGCTGCTGTTTCCCAGACTATACGTGAAAACGCACGAATGTCAACTCGTCACAGATCACAACAAGTAAGCATCAGTTGCACTTCTGTGTGCAGAACTTGTGCAAGAGTTGGAACAAAATACCATCCGCTTCGATATCGTTTCTCTGTGTGGGCTCTAAGTCAACTGGAAACGGACGTCAATTTTGGTCGCCAAATAATCTTTTCGGAGCCCATTTCCATCTGGGAAGTTACGTTAACAAGCAGAATTGTAGCATTTGG